TCCGAGGCGAGAGCGCCGGTCTACGGATCCCAGGGTGACGGGTTCGAATCCCGACCGCGGTGCCCGCATAATGACGGAGGCTTGTTGCGGGGAAGGCGCCGTGTAACCGAGCTTTCGGTTGCACGTCGAAAAATCCCCAGGTGGTCGAAATTAATCCTCAGTCCTCCGCTGGGGCGTGCCAGATGCCCGTCGTACTATAGGTTTGGCACGATAAAAACCCCAAATTTGACTTTTTATCAGAGGATTGCTTGCGGAAGCTACGGGACTGACGTCATGCTCTCTCCTATTACATTTAACCCATTTGGGTGCAACAATCCAGTGCAAGCGGTGCCAAATTCAGAATAGGGATTTCTGAATTTGGCTTCATTCCTGAAAATAACTATTCTGTGACCACTTGACTTTATCAAATATTCGCCACTTTTTTTTTAAAATAGGTCATGCACCCCTGATTACCGCTGGGCAATGCCTACCAGTTAAAAACTCACTGTATAGGGGAATGAAATTGCATCATGAAAGATTGTGTTAAAATACTTGTACTTTACTTTAAAAGTACAATATATTTATAGTACTTTACATTAAGTACATTGCACACAGTGTACTTACTACTTTACTTGAAGTACATATCCCATCTCATTTAGTGGGAATATTCCTCTTCTCAAGGGAGAGGAAATTTTCTCCATGTCTATGATAGAGGCAGACTTGTACGTAACGCGTTACAAGTAATTGATTACTTGTAATCAATTACAGTTAAGTGTAATTTTGTAACGCTTCAATTACATTTGTCAAGCTGTAACGCTCGAAGTAATTCAATTACTTTTTTCCTGTAATCAATTACATAATCAATTACACAATTACCAATTACATTTCTCATCCCACAATTCTTTTTTCTCACAAAAATCAGCATAGTCACTCAGCCATGGAGCAAAAATGATTGACATTTTTTTAACATCTAAAAAAAAAAAAAAAACTAGGATTAGTCGGCAAATCCTTTTTTCTTTTACGCCACCCTCTTCTACAAGCGCGCCACCAGCCTTGGATGGGGAGTTCCGGATCTCGTTGCAGATTGCTGATAAAGTCGACGGGAAGCGGGAACTCGCTATTGACTTTTTAGTGGGCTTTGTTCCCTAGGTCGACGCGTCAGCTACACGACAAGGTCCGGGTCTGAAAACAAAAAAGGGAACAATAACCAAACAAAATTGTGTACGCAATATTTTACTGTGTATTTGTGTACTTCTGTCATCGCAATAAGAAGTAACGTGAAAGTAACTTGAAAAGTAATCAATTACTTTGCAGTAATTGTTCAATTACTTCTGGGAGGCAGTAATCAGTAACGGTAATCGGTTACTTTTTTGACTGTAGTAATTGTAATTGTAATCAGTTACTTTTTTTCAGTAACGTGTACAAGTCTGGATAGAGGTGGGAATTTTTCTCCTTTCAAGAGGGAGAAAATTTCCTCCATGCCTAAGGTAGAGGTGGGAATTTTTCTCCTTTCAAGGGGGAGGAAATTTTCTCCATGTCTATGATAGAGGTGGGAATATTCCTCCTTTCAAGGGAGAGGAAATTTTCTCCATGTCTATCGTAGAGGTGGGAAGTTTGCTCCTTTTAAGAGGGAGAAAATTTCCTCCATGCCTAGGACAGAGGTGAGAATTTTCCTCCTTTCAAGGGGGAGGAAATTCCCTCCATTCCTCAGATAGAGGTGGGAATTTTTCTCCCTTCTGAGGGGAGCAAGTTTCCTCCCTTCACTATGGGAGGAATTTTCCTCCTTTAGGGTGGTAACATATTGGACATGCCAGTTCGTCCCTTAAGGGAGGAAGTACTGCTCCTTTTTTTCTTAGAGTGTACCTTTTAGATGTACTTTACCTAACAATGTTTAAAGGACACAGCGGCTCACACATGTGGGCCATAGTAGGTATGGGAACCTAGAAAGAAACGTTGTTATAACATATCTTACAATCACTAATTCTATACCGCGACAGAAGCTATTGCTTCTACAAAACCGAAGTGACGGAAGGGTCACAATTTAATTTGCTAGCGAGTTCTATTCATGGGAATGTTAGGGATTTTGCAAAAGGTTTATTGATAGAACCGGCGTAGACCTTTTCCAGAAATGCACGATTCAGAAACTCCAAGCAAAACGCTTAGCTGACATAACCCCATAAATAATTAAATAATTGTTTACTCTCTTCTTATAACCGACATCCCCTACTCTCTTCCACAATTTGATTCGTAATTTCTAAGGTATTTATCACCGTGCTATGCGTTAATGGTTTCGTTTTGGTTGATCTTAATAAATGTACTATTAAAGGAGCCATGAATAAATTTCGGGCTAAGATAAATTATTTTAGATTCGGATTTTACAATTGCATATCGTTTAGTGGACCAAAAAAAAGGGGTAGGAAGTCAAAAGCCTGCTTTTCGGTATGAAATTTTGAAAACATAGCGGGCTATTTCGTACCTCCTTTCATTCGAGAACTCTCCGCCTTTTCGCTGTTGATACATCCGCGGTAACCAAATCACGTCAGCCGGCCCCAGCTCACGCATTGGACACGAGCACTGCGTCACTATGCTCTGTCTCACCAGTTACGCACAGAAAGTCGCACAGTAATGCGGAAGCCACGGGCGGAAAAGGGGGTAAGTAACTTTGGTCCGTATTTGGAGCGACGGGCTAATCTTCTGAGGAGAATGACGACGTGCGGGTACACAAACGAGGGTCCGAGAAAGGGAGAGTCCCCCTTTTCCCTCCTCTTGAACTGCTAGTTGTATACCCTCGCCCCTGTACCTTGAAATACTACGCCGTGACCACGTGGTTTCTCATTTCGCTTGTAAGTTGAGGAGGAAAGGGATGGTGAAAAAAATTACACCATCTTCCCGAGGGGAACCATGGGGTGATGCGCAGCATCGCGGATCGTTATTAACGGTGTTATTAACGGTGTTAGTAACGTTGGTAGTAACGTTGGTAGTAACGTTGTTAACTTGCGTGTTATTACGTTGTTAACTTGCGTTGGTTACCACACATCGCATGAACGTTGTTGGAAACTCCGCGATGCTCCGCATCACCCCATGGTTCCCCTCGGGAAGATGGTGTAATTGTTTTAATTGCGTAGACGAAGGTGAAGCGGTTAACGAAGGTCTTTATTGAGAGCAGCGTCTATTACTTGAGGTGTGCACTTTGCTTTGATGAGGATGGCTTTGTGGTCGCTGAAGTGAACCGAGAGGGGATCTTGGTGCAGTGGGTGGATCTTAAAATTGGTGAAGACGTGATCAATGCATGTGCCGTGAATGCTGTTGTTTGCGGTCGTCGTATGATACGTGTTGCAGCGAGTGGTGTGATGACGTGTACTCAACTATCCAATGGCTCTTCATGACGTTGACATTAAAGTCGCCAACGTGCATGAAAGGATGTGTGTCTGCGTATTCTCGAACCGCCGCTGCTTCACGTTGTCGTAGTTCAGCATCCGCCGCTCGACGTTGACGAATGGACGCCGCTTCTCGTTGCCGTAGTTCAGGGTCTGCCGCTCGCTTCAAGCGTTTGCGCTCAGCGTCGCGTGCCCTTCGCTGCGCAGCTTTGTCTTCAGTGGACGTAGCGTTGTTGTTAGTTTGTGGGGTGGTGCTGACGCTTGCTTGCGCCAACCCACTAACTGACGGGACTGTTGCTTCCATTCCACTTCATCGGAAGAACGGAGTAAAGTGGAATCAACAGCGGTGAACTGAACGCGCGCAGCGCGCCCTACCGCTGCTTATATTCACGCTTGAAGAAGAGGAGACTAGAGGAGGAGAGTTGCGCATGCGCGCGGTGTGAGTAGAACCGAACGCACGCGAAGTGCACGCAGCTGGTAGAGAGAGAGATCGGAGAGAGTAACGCGCAGCTGTTGGAGAGAGGGAAGGAGGAGAGTTGCGCATGCGTAGTGTGAGTGCGGACTACGACGCCGACGCCGCGGGACATAGACCCGAGCAAGAGATGCTCCGCATCTAAAAACATTTCGTGGCCCCTGCAAAGGTCGTTTCTCATCCTGCGACCATTTCAGCAGAAACCAACGTTACGAAGGAACACGTATCAGATGCCACACAGGAATCATAATCACTGACGTTGACGAGCTTCGATATTGTCCCTGCCTATAGGAATAAATAGATAGCAAACTCGTAAAATCGTTGTTTTTTTTTGTTTTTTTTTGTTTTTTTTTTGCGTGAAACCAAATACGGTAAAACGTTTTTTGGCTAGGTGTTCGGTATTTCGTGAAGCCCAGAAAAAAGCATGGTCGCGAGGCTCGACACTGATTGGTTGATGGGTGGGAGAGGAGGAGTGAGGTGCGCGACGAACAAAAAGGCCTGCGACCAGAGGGGTGTAGGCGAGGAAGAGTGAGGTAGGCGAGGAGGAGCTGGACCGCCTGTGCGCACAGAGGGAGAGGAGCTCAAGAGTATGGAAGGCTCTGGAAGATCGCCAGGTTTATCAGCTCGATTAGCGGTGGTATCGCTTCATTCTAGGAACAACTATCAAATGTACACATGCCACGCGTTAAATTACCTGATAAAAAGCGCCGTGAACGTAGGCGTCTGGCGCCTGTAAACTCAGAATATCGATCGTTAAAAGTTTGTGATGCTAGAACGTTTCACGCATGCAACCAGTTGCCTAGAAATTTGCCATACATTTGTTCAATATTTTTAAAACTACCATTAGTCATTCCTTCGAGAGAAAAGAGAAGCGCAAGCAGAGATCGCTCTGAAGTGCCGGATGTGGGGTTGCTTTGTTCAATTCATTCTAACCTTGTATTTCCTGCTAACTTGGTCGCGCCCTTATGCGCTCAGATGACTAATATATAGAACTGACTAAGCAGTGCCTTCGTATCTTCAATAATGAATGCGTGAATCAGATCTATCATATCTCTATTGGAAGCGATGATTGTAAAGCGATACTTGCAGAAAGAAAAAAGAAAGCGATACTTGCAGAAAGAAAAAGAAAGCGAAGAACCAGCCAATCCAAGCTTCGGGAAAACTGTAGTAGAATGGTCTATCACGAAGCCTCCCACAGTCAGTATCACGGCACCATGCAGGACACATCGGGACACCATCCTCTACGCCGTCATCACTCTGTCCCGAACACCGGCGAGGGCGTCCTTCGTCCCCGTACCCAAGTCAACAGCACCCCGAAAAACCGCAAACGCCCGCGAGACGACAGCTGCTTCACGGATCCCATCCCAAGGCGAGCTCAGCGTACGGCCGAGCCAGAACCAGCCTACGTCACTCCCGTTCGGCCCTCGAGTCGCGCTTCGTCGGCAGCGACCGGTGATGATCCGACCTCAAGCCTGGAGGTCAAACAACTCAGCTTCGTCAGCGGGAACCTGTGGAGCTTCCAGTGCAGTCCTGGCAGCCCGCACGTCTACGGACGCCTGAACGTGACGTCAAGCAGTGGTCCTATCTGCCGCATCTGTCACGAAGGCGATCAGGCCGGACCCCTGTCGTCTCACTGCGCGTGTTCTGGGACCATGGGCCTGACACATGTGCCTTGCCTGGAGCGCTGGCTGTCCACTCGCAACACGGACATGTGCGAACTGTGTCAGAAACGCTTCCCGACGGTGCAGACTAGGAGGTCGCTGAAAGAGTGGATCAGTGGACCGGGTCACCAAAAGAGAGCTCTATTCGGGGACCTTATGTGCTTCGTTGTGCTAAGTCCCATCGCATTTTTCGGCTTGGAATTGAGCGTTCAGGGCGCTTCGAGCCAGGCGACGACGCGCCACGTCTGGCAAGCGGGCAGTCTGATCATGCTCTCGTGCTTGCTGCTAAGCGCGTTCGTGATCTGGACGTGCACCACCGTGAAGTACCATTACAGGAACTTCAGGGACTGGCAGAATGTTAACATGAAGATGACACTGGTTTCGCATGAAGACGCCACCAGACTGAACCTCTCACCTTCTGTCGCGTAATCGCCAGAGGGCTAATTTTATCTTCGATATTCCGCCAACCATTCCCAGTTCTCGATATGTGGGGTATGGCGAGCACGTTCTTTTAGCGAATCTTGATATAGTGTTTTCGTTTTCTCTCCAAGACATATTGATCGATTCGTATTTTGGCAGCGAGCATGTATCATTTTTATATACTTTGTATAAACTTTTAGTCTTCCGCGATGTCGCGCGCGGCTTGCTTTTAGTTTGCAGTAAACTGACCTTGCACGTGGTTTTTGTTATGCTTCTACGTTTGTTATCAAGCCCTGAGGAGCAGGCTGGAAGTGTGGTTACATGTGCTGCACATGCGCCTTAACTGCAGGCAAGAATTAAAGTAACTGACTAAAGTAAGGCGATGATAAATGCGCGAACACAATTCCACTTGTTTCACGATTTTTTGCTATAAACCAATTTCTGTTGCGGATGCTATACTCTATTTCACCTTATGATGTACCGCAGGAAAGGCTACACGCGCGTGCTCTGTGCTGTAGAGCCAGAAGCACACGCGTGTAGCCTTTCCTGCGGTACATCATAAGGTGAAACAGAGTATTAGCGGCGAGATGTTTCGGTGGCGCCCTCGTTCGTTTACCTTTCGTGACGGCATTACCTTGTGAACAACAAGTTCGATGGTGTTTGTAATGGGCATGGTGGAAGCCTGAAATCATAGCTCTCAAAGCAACACTGCCAACACTGTCAAAATTGAAGTTCTTACATTCCCCTTATTTCCGTCGATGAGACATCCTTTGCTCTCGTCATAGTCAGCATTCGGCCAATAGTGGTGGGCCGACCACAGCGACGCTTTCGATCGCTCACGTCGCCAATAGCATCTGCAACAGAACAGAAAACAAAACAACAGAAGGGCACATCTCGGCGGCACAAGCTCTCGTGCATTAAGGGAAGCTGCCAACGCTATGAGCTCGCGCTTCTAGCCTTCGCTGCGGTGCAACATAAGGTGAAACGGAGTATAGTACTTGCAGCGCGTGCACCTACAAGCCCGGTACCTAGCGCCGTCTTTCCTGCATGGCATGTTCAGAGCTCTGGGCATGTTGATCCAGCTCCTCACGCGACTGAATTCGGCGAATAGCAGCGCCGCGCGTTCGAGGAGCGCGGCGCGCTCAAAAGCAGGGGAACGTTCAGCGGGGCGCGCGCAACGTCTACTTTCTTACACGGCACTTGATCCGGCTCATCATGTGATCGGATCTCGGCGAATAGCGGCCCGGCGGCACGTGCAAAACAGACGCACAAGGCGCAACTCTGCCTCCCGTAGGGAGCCTATAGACCTTTCCAATGTTTACAAATCCACAGCTCAGCGTGCGATCTCCACAGCTCAGCACGCGCGTGTGCGTCGCTTCGGAAAGCGAGCAAATTACGCGCGATACGCACGAACACTGAAAATGAAACCGGCCAGCAGCCCCTTTCTGGAAAGGTCCATACAGGAACTCTAGTACCTACAAGCCCGGACTATAGACCAGTGTCCGCACCAATTCCAGGGCGCCGCCATGTTTATCTTCGCTCGCGCCACCACGCGGAGAGAACTGGCAGGCAGGAGGGGGGGGGCCACAGTGAAAATGATAAACTGTGGGGGGGGCTGCGTTGGCGGCGTTGCTTTGAGGAGCTGGATGCGGCAGGCTGTCCGAATGCACAGGCATATCGTGAAAGATGTCTTCACCAGAAGCCTCCGCGGCCCGTTCTTCAACAGATAAGATGTCGTGAACATTCGAGAACCCATCTCGATCAAGAAAACGAGAAAACTTTCCTTGTCTTAAATGTTCTCGGTGTCTGCTGACCCTTGACATCCGCGCTTCAGTCCGGGTTCATTGCGTAGTAAATATTTCGCTACCGCTTTCTTGTAGCTTTCAAATGCTTGATTGTTGGCTTCTTGTATACAGCATTACATTCGTGGCACGTTTGAGACCGATTTTCGCGATCTGCTTGCCTTTCTGCGGCAGCGCGGCTCTGCCGAGCCGAAATAAGTGGGAGGCGTTCACTTGATCGAACGCCGTTTTAGCGAATGAAAACAAGACCACGACGTTTCATCGAATGAATAGCGAATGGGTCTAGTTACATAGACAGCTCGGATTAGCTTTCTTTTATAATGTGCCGCCTTGTCTGCCGCCGCGAAGCGGCGTAAACGAGGGCTCCGAGTATGTTAGCACGCGTCCTCCTCCCCCCCCCCCCCCCCCCCACACACACACACACGCTGCAAGCGTCTGGGTTCGAAACTATTAATTGCCAATTCTAAAGGATGGTACTTACTTGAAGTGGGAGCTGGAATTCTACGAGGTACCAGGAGACACTTACTATCGGGCAACGAAGCAGGGTGCCTGTGGGGCAGGAGTCTAGGAACGTTACTGATTAATATTGTGACAGGCGATCAGTTATGATAACAGACGAAACTTCGACTCGTTTGTTCATAAATTTGCGGTGATATTTTATTAGCCCTCGTTACAGCACACCAAGGATCTTAGGCAGTGAAATTCACATCACGCGGGCTCGTCCGTCGTAGTCAATTGAGCGCAGTCGACGACGAGGTGTAATGAGCTACTAAGCTTCACAAGGAAAATGCGCATGAGAAAGAGTTTTGAGGCAGTCCAAAACACCGATCCAGCAGACGCACGTACTATCGGGGAAAAATGAAATGCGAACAGAGGAGCGCGTGGCTCGCGGCACGTGCTGCGCCGCCTGGAAGTGAGCCTAGGAGCGAGGGTGCGTGGCCTACTCTACGTGTTCACGCCCCTCCCTCTGCGCTCCCAAAGCTTCAGCAGTGCGCCTCTTAGTGCGCTGAAAGCTATCACCGCTATCTTTGCTGGCTCAGCGCGTGCGGTGCAAAGAAGCTCGCCGTACTCGCCGAGCAGGCAAAGATAGCGGTGACAGCTTTCAGCGCACTGAGAGGCGCACTGCCGAAGCTGGGGGAACGAAAATCGAGCAGCGTGAACACATCGAAGTAGGCCACGCACCCTCTCCCCTAGGTTCACTTCCAGGCGGCGCAGCTTGTACCGCGAGCCACGCGCTCCTCTGTTCGCATTTCATTTTTCCCCGATAGTACGTACGTTTACTCCGGACTCCCTGAACCCGACGGCGCAAGATCAAAGCGATCAAAGAGCACCGCCGCCATCGCCACCCGGTTTTCTATGCACTTTGCGCGACAACGGCACTGCAACGGAGGGCACTCGCCTCGGCGATAACAATCCGCGAAATAGATTAATTTCCCACTCTTGAAGCCATTCCAAATGATAAATGAAAATACCTCGGCGTTGTTGAACATCTGACGACACAACCAACACAACTGTTTCGAGCGCCTGCTCGGCACCGTTGTTGCTCGTGAAGGCCTGCTTATTTGTAGTTGAGACGATGATTCCACATCTTTCGTGGTGCTTGCAATAACTTCGAAGGGCAGGGGAACATTCTCACGAGGACGTTGAAGACACTCAACACCGGAGCCACCAAAGCAATCGCACAAACCGTCGCCATGTTTGCTTCTTCTTCGTCACTCGCGGCGCGGTCAACTCGTCGCGAGATGTTTTCTGGCTCGGCTGGATGGAAACCAACAGCGGCAAAGTGGCGTATGGACACACGGCTCTCACATTACGGGCACTATTCTCACATACCGCGGTAAACAGGACCGATGCCGGCAAAACGGCAGTCGGCACACCAGCGAAGAAGCCCTCAACGGGAAGCGGCGGCGCGGGCCGACGCAGCCCCCCCCTCCCCGTGAGCGTCTGGGTTCGAGATTATTGTTCGCTTTTGCTCCTTGCGGTCGAGGCTAAAAAGAGCACTTCCGGACAAAGGTGCGCTGCTGCTGAGCGCGTGCTGACGGCGAGCTTCCGCTGTCCTTTTGGAGCGTGCACTTAGCACCATCAAGGTTGCCGGTCTTAGCCGGCGATTAATGTGAGCTCGTTTTCAGCATGCGGTCTAAACATCGCCCTCAAATATGGCGTCCAGTGAATACCTCCTATAGGTGCCTTCATGTGCTCTTTACCAGGGTGTCGAACCGGAACCGAACCGAACCGAAAACCGGAACAGAACCGTTATTCTTAGCTGAACCGGAACTGAACCGAACCGAAATATTCGCCGCCATCTTGGAACTGAACCGGAACCGAACCGAAAAAAAATATAACGGTAACCGTTTCAAAACGGTTCAAGCTGATTTCTTTTTTTTTCTTTTTTGTTAATATCACAAAATGAACATATGGGAATGAAAAATTGGCGGCTGTATTTCTATCTATTGATCAAATCGTCATATACAGAATTGCAACGTATGTTGAATTGTGGGTTTTCGTGGCGCTTTTGTATTGGCACTATAATTAACCATGCGTCACGTTGTCACGTGACGTCATGGTGTCAATACATGTTGCCAATCAATGTCACGTGACCTCGTGAAGTCACGTGACTCACTGCGTCAACTCGATTTAATTTGAGGAATTCACTAGATGTATTAACCTTGTTGACAGCGTGACGTAACATGACATCACGATTTTGCACCGAGAGTCACGTGACACCGTGACGGAAGTGATTTTCATAACCCCTATACTTTGTTTCAGCTTCCGTCCGAGCGCAGCCAAAGCTACGTGTGGCCTGAGCCAATCACACGCCGGCAATAGGTCACGTGATCTCGCTTGCACTTCTGTATCACTCCGCTGCGCCGCTGGTCGTCCGCGCCGCCCGCGCTCGCCGAGTATTTCGTCTGCTACAGGTGTTTCAACGGTATCGTCTGCTAGAGATTTAAAAAGTGCCCTTTCACGTTCTGAAATTTAGTCACAGGGGATGGCAGCACATATATAGGCTAGCCGCTGGCCTCTCTGTCCGAGCTTTCCATCTGTTCGTCATTTCGGCATAGTTTCGAGATATGAGTACACAGTGCAAGGTGCCCGATGACCCGGCCGTTGATGTTTCCTTATATTGTGTGCATATACCAGAGCTCGAGGCGCAGTGCTTTCCACCTGCTCCTCGGCGCTCAATGTGATCGGCCAGTAAAGGGGTGCCCCGATTTCGCCGCGTATCAGTGAATTGTAGTGGCCCAGA